TTATCATTTTTGATATGGGTCTCATGCTATTTATACCTTGCATTGTTTTTTAATATACCCATAATATACCCTTGCTATGTATGGGTCCCATGCTACAGTGTACAATCAATGCATCATGTTTAATATAGGTCTCCTGCATGTTTGACATATATCCATTTTAATGAATACTGTTGCAGGTACTTTTGTCTCTTACATTCACACATACATAGCCATAAGCTAAAAATTGAACTAGGTAGCCACAAATGATCTAAAATACCTGAGGATAATAGATTATGCAAAATGAGCAATGTTGTAGAAGATTCTTTTTCTAATTCTTTTTATTACAACCTGTGACAATTATAACATGCGCAAAAATGTACAGCCATTTCTCAAAACAAATTCTAGACTTTCAATACTTTCTAAAACAAACAAGTTTATTACAATAATGAACAATCAAAACATACACCTGATCAGACAGGTAGTTCATTATTCAAAAACTTCATTCAGTATTTATTATTATTATTATATACACTTGAATTTCATAATGAAATTTTAGATGGCTGAATGGTGGCTATTTTAGTGTTAAAATACAACAACTCAAACATTTCTGTCATTCAGGAACTGTATCATGGTCATGCTGAATGGATTTGTTGCTGATCAGAAACAAATTATTATATTTTTTTTTGAGTAAACTGTCTCAAGCTATTTACATTGTATGAGATATTGTAGTCATTGTAACAGGTGTTCATCCCCTGTAACCCTTAGCAACCGAATGTTGCATAACTATACTGTAGTGGTAAACAAATATAATGGTACAATGTACATGTAGGATATAGGAGTTTTTGCAGAAGTAGGTGTGCTTTGTTTGCACGATTAGTAATTATATCTCATGACATGACAGTGCAAATCACGGTTAGCCTCTCACCATACAAACCGAACAGTCCTTTAGTTCTTGAATTTTTGTTGTCTCACAAAATGTAGTTGTCTGGAATAATCATCAATGTAGACCCTAGGTAGTGGTATATTCCCTCCTCTTAATAATAACTATTATTACACATCTGTCACCGTAACGCAATAAGTCACAGCGTGCCGTAATTTTGCGGTATTTTACGGAGCATCTTCATCCTACCATGTTAAGAAATGCAAATTGAAAATATGGAATGATTACGCATGTAAGCATTCTCTAATAATAAAAACTAACATAACTGCCACCAGGGTTTGACCGGACTCGCCAATTCTGTTCTAAACATTTTGGATTTCAGCATTCCCATGGTGTATCCTTGGAAGGAAAAGACGTATATTAATAAGATCATTATGAGGATACCTGAAAGTATGCACTCAGACAGTACGCCAAATGTCGGTCGATATTCCAGCTGTACTGTCTTCGTGCATACTTTGAGGTATCCTCGTAATAACCTCATATTACTCTATTAAACATCTTGTACACAATTGTGGATAAAATTGGTTTTCATTTTTTTTACTAAGAAGGCACTGAATTCTTTTACAGACTAATTTCATTACTCACTTCATAACAAACTACAGAATTCCATATTTACATCATTTTCAGTTATCTATGATACTGTCGTTTTGAATTGTATGTACCGGTACTTTAATTAATCTATCTATCTATTTTTTGTATTTGGTGAAATAAAACATTCATCCATTTATATGCATTAACATTATATATAATAAATATAAAATATTAGATTTAAGATGACACTTATCTTGGTAGCCTCCACTGCATGTCATCCTCTCTGTAAAACATTTCTTATTACATTACAGCTGCCCGTGAGTTACCGTATAGTGAGATATACTCTGCTCCATTGTCATTTGGAGACTATAACAGAAAAGTATTAATTCCTGGTGAAAGAATTGATGTCAAAATAAGTGATGTCGAGAGACATCCATCAAGAAAATTACTTAATCCCAACTTGTAAGTAATATCAGTAAATATCAAAATTGTCCAAAATTGTTGTTTCAATGTCTTTTGTAATTGCAGACAATTTTACCATGGCATGACCTCAAATACACAATGTAATTTAGAATGATACTTTTTTGTGTTGATTGATGAAAACTGAACTAGTTGTATTACGAGATGCCCTGATGTGAGGGCACACTTCCCATAGCATTTCAAGGCTGGGCAGTATGAGGAATAGAATAGAATAGAATAGAATAT